CTTTTAATTTCATGGCTGCAATCACCATCTGCAGTGATTTTGGAGCCCCCCAAAAATAAAGTCTGACACTGTTCCTACTCTTTCCCCATCTATTTCCCATGAAGTGATGGGACCAGATGCCATGATCTTAGTTTTCTAAATGTTGAGCTTTAGGCCAACTTTCTCACTCTCCTCTTTCACTTTCATCAAGAGGCTTTTTAGTTCCTCTTCACTTTCTGCCATAGGATGGTGTCATCTGCATATCTGAGGTTATTGATATTTCTCCCAGCAATCTTGATTTCAGCTTGTGCTTTTTCCAGTCCAGTGTTTCTCATGACGTACTCTGCATATAAGTTAAATAAGCAAGGTGACAATATTCAGCCTGACGTACTCCTTTTCCTATTTGGAACCAGTCTGTTGTTCCATGTCCAGTTCTAACTGTTGCTTCCTGACCTGCATATAGGTTGAAAGTGAAAGTGAAAGTGAAGTCGCTCAGTCATGTCTGACTCTTTGCAACCCCATGGACTGTGGCCTACCAGGCTCCTCAGTCCACGGGATTTTCCAGGCAAGAATACTGGAGTGGGTTCCTATTTCCTTCTCCAGGGGATCTTCCTCAGTCATAAAAGGAATGCATTAAAGTCAGTCCTAAAGAGGTGGATGAACATAGAGCCTGATATACAGAGTGAAATAAGTCAGAAAGAGAAAAACAAATATCATATACTAACACATACACATGGAACCTAGACATATTGTGCTGATAAACCTACTGCACAGCAGCAATAGAGACACAGACATGAGAACAGACTCACGGATCGGCTGCCAGGGAGGAGGTAGGGGGTGGGATGTATGCAGAGTGTGAGCATGCAAACTTGCACTACCCTATGCAAAATAGACAGTCAACGGGGATTTGCTGTATGGCTCAGGGAACTCAAACCAGAGCTAGTAACAACCTAGAAGGGTGGGGTGGGCAGGCAGCTGGGAGGGATTTTCATATGGGAGGGGCATGGGTAAATCTATGCCTGAATCTTGTTGATGCTTGTTACAACCTAAAATAATACTGTAAAGCAATAATCCCTCACTTAAAAATAAATAAATCCAAAATAAACCACCACCCACCCCTGAAATTCCATATGCCAAGGGGCCCAGGAGGAGGCTCACTCATACATGCATGAGGTAAAAGGCAGACAGATCTCTGTCCTGTGAGCCTGCAGTGGCTCATGAACCATCTCACTTCCCTCTCAGCTGCTTTCCAGGAGTCCTGGAAAACCTATCTTAGAAAATCATGCATGCAGCTAAGTCCTTCTGTGAGTCCTCCAGGTTTCCACAGGAGGACCTGTCTGTTTCATTCACACATGCCTCCATCCTGTGGCCAGATCCCTGTGGTTACAACTGACTCAGAGGGAAGAACAACCTTTGGCAGACCACCAGGGAGCATACACAAAAATTTGACTTAAATCTGTGGCCCAGAACAAGAACACAAGATTAGTAGCATTGAAACATGTATATTATCATAGGTGAAGCTGATCGCCAGTTCAGGCTCTATGCATGAGATAGGGTGCTCAGGGCTGGTGTACTGCAATGACCCTGAGAGATGGGATGCGGACGGAGGAGGGTGGGGGATTCAGGACGGGGGACACATGTACACCCACGGCTGATTCATGTCAATGTGTGGCAAAAACCACCACAATACTGTAAAGTAATTAGCCTCCAATTTAAATAAAAATTTTAAAAAGTAAAAAAAAAATTAAAAACAGATGTCGTGCTACTTTGGGGGAAACAAAGGACAGGCTGTCAGTACCATTTCTGGTGCACTAATGTATCTAGACAAGACATAGAAGCACAGAAATTCTGGCGTAACAGGGATGAGAATGTCAGCAGGTGCCACTATAGAAGATCTGAAATAGCTGCGGAGTCTCTAGCAGGGTTGAAGGAAGTTGTCTCTCAACCAAAGGAGACTGGTACTTTAATTACAAAAACAGCACCACAAAACTTCAAGAAACATGAACTCAAAGTATCATGAAAGCAACAAGTACAAAAATCTTCAGTATTCACATCCAAAGATTGGCCGATGTGTGATTTAGCCAGTGGAGAATTCAAAATAGCCATTTTAAATAACTCAGTGTTCTACAGAAAATACAGTAAGATACTTGAACAAAAGCAGGAAAACAATAAACAATGGGCAAAACAAGCAGTTTAATAAAAATGTACAAATCATAAAAAAAAAGAAACCCTGGTGCTGAAGGTTCCAAGGATGAAATGAAAAAATTCATTAAAGAGTATCCACCACAGAATCAAAAAAGCAGAAGAAACTGTGAGATAGATGATATATCAAAGTTATCCTGTCAAAGGAGATTAAAAATAAAATTTAAAAAATTTTTAAAAACAAAAAGAATGAAAAAGAACAAAGAAAGGCTACATGATCTATGCTACATTGAAAACAGAACGGATTTGCAAATTATTGAAGTTCCAGGAGGAGAAAAGGAGATGAGGCAGAAAACACATTTAAGGAATAATGTCTGAGAACCTCCCAAATCAAGGATGATATTTGAATATATAAGTTCAGGAAGCTTACAGGTGACCAAACCAAATCAACATAAAAAATTCTCTACAATACACATTATAATAAAGTTGCAAAAATTAAAGAAAACTAGAGAAGACTTCAAGCAGCATGAGGAAAAAACAAACAAGCTAACAAAACAAAAACCCTGAAATTTACTAAGGAGCCTTCATTTGGATCTTAGCATATCTCTTAGCAGAAACCTACAAGGCCAGGAGAAAGTGGGATGATATATTCCAAGTGTTGCAAGAAAAAACTGCCAAAGAAGAATATTTGAAAACATCATTCAAAAAAGAAAAGAATATAAAGACTTCACCAGACCAACAAATACTGAGGAGATTGAACACAACTAGACCTTCCTTGAGGAGGGCATGGGAACCCACTCCAGTATTCTTGCCTGGAGAACTGCAAGGACAGAGGAGCCTGGTGGGCTGCCGCCCATAGGGTGGCAAAGAGTCGGACACAGCTGAGGTGACAGAGCAGGCACACAGACCTTCCCTACTGAAACACTACAAGGAGTTAATCAAGCTGAAGTAAAAGAATGCTAATTCATTCCATGAAGATACCTAGTATACTGGTAAATTTAAGTGCACATTCACATTCAGAACACTGTAGTATTTTGATATGGAATGTTAAACACAACTATTCAAGAGTTAAAGTACAAGAATATAAAAATTACTATAGCTGCAATTATTTTTAATTAAGTACACACTAAAAAAAGAGGCAAATCATGACATCAAAAACATAAAATGGAGAAGGGTAAAAGGAAGGAGATTTAACATGTGGTTGATGTTCATATATCATCAGCATAAAATACACTGCTCTCTCTGTAAGGTGTTTTACATAAATCTCATGGTAAACAAAGCAAGAATCCATGTTAGATTCACAAATGGTAAAGAAAAGTTTATTAAATGCATACTGCTATAACAAAAATCAAGAATTCACAAAGGCAAGCAGTCAGAGGAAGTAAGGAATTAAAAAACTATAAAACATCTTGTAAAAAAAGATAATACTAATATATCCTTATCTATCAATAATTACTCTAAATATAAAGGATTGCATGAGCGCATGCTAAGCCACTACATTTGTGTCTGACTCTTTGAGACTCAATAGACTGTAGCCCACCAGGCTCCTCTGTCCTTGGGACTTCCCAGGCAAGAATACTGGAGTGAGTTGCCATTTCCTTCTCCACTGTTTTCTTCTATCTCAATGAAATTCTTAAGCAATTGCTTTTAATTACTTATCAGACAAATCATCCATATCCATTATTTGGGGTCAGTAACTGAAAATCTATTGCGTTTCTCTGTTAATATTTTAGTCCTTTGATTTCTGTGTCCCTTGAAGTCTCAGGTTGCTGTGTTTGCATTTAAAGAAGCAGTCACCCCCTCCAGTCTTTACAGACTGACTTGGGGAGGGAAGTACACTGTCACACTGATGGGGATTTTGAGACTTTTTCAGACCTTTTTTAAGGATACACCTGTCCCATGTACTCAATTTCTCCTAGGAGAGAATTTTCAAGCTCGTGTGCTTCTATCAACGCAACAGACAGACAGTCTCTGTGCGGACAGTTTCCTGGCTGCTTCCCTGGGCAATGCCAAATGCTCACATCCGTGTGCTTTCTCACAGACCCACGGAGGCAGGCTGGCTTCTAGATGTCCCTCAGGTCATTTGCAAAGGCTTAGATGCCACCGTGGGGCTCTACACAGGGAGCTGGCCCTGGGGAGGGGATGTGGACGAGATGAGGGGCCCAGGGGTGAGCAGGACCACAAGCACGGTGTCTGCAATGGTTTGGGGCTCCCTGGTGGGGTCTCCACGTGGTCAGCAGGAACCATGTTCCTTGAAGAATTCTAGCCCTGGGGGCTGTGCTCCTGGCCTCTCCCCACCCCCAGCCATGCAGGTGACCCCAGTGTCCGGACAAGGGGAGAGAGGAGTGCGCTGGAAGATGAGGACCCGCCCTTGCTCACGCGCTCTCATCTCCCCACAGGTGAAATCCTGGCCGAGGGGTCTGTCTTGGCGCTAAGCAGGGCCACTGGGGGCAAAGTGTGGCTCCTCCTCTAACCCTCAGGGACGCGTCCAGTCTCCAATCTTTGTGCTCTAGCAGCTGCTGTCGTGTCCCTGCCAGACTCCTGAACCCCCACAAAGATGCCATTATCCCCAAATGACGGTCAAAGTCTGCGTTTATATCAGAAGAGACAGTGAGACTCCTGCCATCTTTCTGACCTCACTCTGTTACTACAGGTTTCTTCTTTGTGGATCTTTTCCTATTTTCTTGACTAACATCTATCAATAGGTATATGTATTTTGTCATATACTTATCAAGAGGTACAGACACAGACACTTGTAAAAAATAAAATTAAATAGGTCCTTTGGCAAAACAAGAATTGATATCAACTTTTGGAGTGGATAATACAGCTAAGTCTTAGAAAATTATGAACACACTGGGATCTCAGCCCAGTTTACTCACTGACACGGATGCATCTGGGAGAAGGAGACCAGCCATTCTCTGTGCAGGTCATTGTGTTCTGATTATTTTCAAGACTGTGGCCGTCATAGCAGTGAACTCTTACAGTTTTACCCTGTAAGTATTTTTCTTCACGACGTGGGGTATGTCCATTTTCCAAATAATTGAAAATACATTGTCCTTAGGATCATTCAAGTAATATGAAAGAAATAAAACATGAATTTTGTAAAATAGTACATTAAAATTAATCTTATAGAATTTACATGAGAATGCATTAGTATTCAAATATATCACGTCAGAAAAAAAATAAAAGCTAGTACACATGTTTGTTAGAAATGAAGATCAACATCCCATATCATTTGTCCTTAGTTTATGATTAAAATATGTATAAATGATGCAGATATTCTTGTAAAGCCTCTGTATCTCTCACAAGATTTACATGAAGAGCCTGTAGTAAACAGAAAATCTATTGGGATGTTTCTGCTCATAGAACTCATCTCTTGGCCTTACTGTTGTTACACAACACTTAACTGTACTCACTTATATACTTTTGTCTCTTCACTCTTTCAAAGATTTATGCACATAAACTTAAAGAGGTTTACTTACTGAGGCATGGTTCTTCTGGAGACCATCCTTCTGCTGTGCAAGTCAGGTAATCCCAGTAACGTTGTGAAGGAGCCACAAAAGGCTGATCACAGTTATAGACAATCTGTTGATTCACACGTGCTGGAAAGTATCCTCTGTATGAATAGTATAGCCGTCCATGTTTTATTACTGGATAATTACAAGGTTTCCCTTGGAATAAAAAAGTAGAAATAATGCTTTGCCCCAGTATACAATCAAATTAGAATTAATGTTTCATCTATGAATTATATTCTTGTTCAGTTAATTACACTCATTACATTATGGTCTAGGGAAAGTAAAGTTATAGAAAATTCATATGATCGAAGTATGTAAGGAAACCTTGCTAAGGAAGATCAAATTATGTCTGGTGGGTCATATTATGTAAAATATGTATGTGGATTCTCTTGGTAGGAAACTATACAGACTTATTAAATAAATTCCCCTTAAGAAGTCCCAACCTTGGTTGACTAAATTAGCATCTTAATCAAGAGATGAAATTACAGATCTTATCTTGTGGCTCATCTGCCTTCTTTTTCTTTCTTTTCCATTCTACTCAAAAATCAGAATCCTAATATTTGTTCTCAGACCAAGGCAGTGTAGGAAGAAAATATATTTTTTTTAATTATCATTCATTAGTTTACTTTTCTTTTTATTGGAAATGTGTGATGTATATAGAGAACCACAACAATTCTTCATTAATCAAATCTCACAAAGTAACATTCTTATTTATCCATCAAACTAGATGGTAAGATATCTTTTCCCTTGCTTGTCTAATCAGAGAAATGAACAATGAATAATTCTTAATATCCAAATGGTTAAGATGAAGGGAAGCCCTTGTCACTTATGGTCTAATTTTAATTGGAGAATGATGTATTTTTCAGTATTTCTTACAAAGATTTTAAATGAGGTATAACATAATTAAATTTTATTGTTATTATTATATATTGAGTAAAGTTTTCACATATATGCTTGCTATTTGAATTATAAAATTTGAATCTTTGCATATCTTAACCCATTTCTTTAACAAAGACTTGTCAATTATACCCTCTCATGGCCTATAGTCTGCATCTCTCATCACTGATAGATTTCCCCCACTTTTTTTAAGCTTCTCTACATTTTTAAGTTTTAAATGCTTACACAGTTTGATTCCTCTTAAGAAATAGTCTAGGTTTCTCTCCACTACTTTTTGGAGATTAGAATAATCTTTCTTCATCCTTGAATTTTATAAATTTCATCATGTATGTTAAGATATGTGTATCTTTCAATAATTCTATGTTAGACAAGTTTGAGCCTTTGTATTTGCAAGAACCAAGTGTAAAGTACTCAATTAACTTTGTCATTACATTGTCGAGGAGAGATTTGAGTTCTGAGTATCTGATTCCGGAACTAGTACATTTATCACTCTGATGCAACATAGGATATTAATACAGTAAAATAATCCACTGAGACTCACTTTCAAAAGGTACACAAAGAGGGCATAATTAAACGTAAGCATCGTTACTATCACTGCTCTGAGGTATATTCCCTGTCTTCTCTTTCATTTGGGCACATGTGAATCTGTCTTTGTCTCTCTAACCAGATCATTTATTGAAGCACACATAATAGTCCCCTATAGTTGGAATGGCATTAACTTTGTCAGGATTCAGAACAGCCTCATTCTTCTGTTACACTCCCACCAATACAAGTTCAGGTCTCATGAGCAGGCTCAGCTGTCCATCATAATGTTGGCTCAGATTGACCTCAAAATTGATGAAAAGTATTCACTAAGTTCTAAAGTGCTTCTAGTCTTTCTGTACCTCTGCAACTTACTCCAAAGATCCAGGCCCAGGATCTTATAATTTTTAAATTTAAGTTTTAGATTTCATGTTATTAGGTCCAATCTCACACATGGGAGTCATTCTGAGTGATGAATCTGTACTATAGTTTCACTTTCAGCAGCTCTGTATCATTTAAGATGCATCATTAAATTAGCTGATGATACAAAAGTGGAAAGGATCAGGCCTGAGGACAAAGTCCTGAATCTGATAATCAGCTCATTTAATGAAATTATGAATGTTGATAAACTATTTAAATGGTCAATTTCCTCATGTTGTCCACAAGAACTTCACAAGGTCCCTTGTGGGATAACCTTGTTGTGATAAAAATAGGATTGGGTTGATCTACCATTTTCAAAGGGCTTCCCTACGGCTCAGTGGGTAGAGAATCCACCTGCAATGCAGGAGACACAGGAGATGTAGGTTTCATTTCTGGGTCAGAAAGATTGCCCTGGAGAAGGAAATAGCAACCCACGCCAGTATTCTTGCCTGGAGAATTCCACAGACAGAGGATCCTGGTAGGCTATAGTCCCAAGGATCACAAAGAGTTGTACATGATTGAGTGATTAAGCACACAGCACCACTTTCATAAATCCATCTTAAACAAGATTAAATATTTTTACTAAAATTCTTATGCAGATTAAAATCTGTTTCATACTGCTGATACCTTCATTTTAATGGAACTTATGCTTTGAAAGTTCATTTTAAATGTATGCTTGGAATTACCATTAAGATCACTGAACTGTTTTATATCATTACAGTTTTCTTTCATGGAATAACTGGCTTAAGTATGCTGAAATTTTACACTGTACCATTAGAAAGAAGAGGATTGTTTAGAGGCAACTTAGAGGAAGTTGAGGAGTGAAGGAAGCATCCCCAGAAAATACTCTGTTCAGCTGACATTTTTCTATATTTCATGGTTTTAGGAAAGTCCAAAATGTCTTCCATACTCCTCTCTTCAAAATTAGAACCTAGGTCCTCACCACTGAGTGTGCAGGGCTTAGTGTCCATTTCTAAAGATCACACATGACAGACATGACAGTGTGTGACCAAGTCATACCTGGTGTGGAGGCTTCCTCCTCCCTCTCTGGGATCACTGGCCCTGAGGAAATCTAGCTGTCTCTCAAGCTGTGGAGATGCCCAGCTGGTCAGGTACTGAGGCCTCCCCACAAAGCCAGGAGAGTGAGCCAACTTGGAAGCAAAGCCTCCAGCCCAGCTGAGCGTCCAGGTGACAGTGGCCCAGGTCAGTACCCTGGACTGCCACCCATGCACAGTGATTCAGAACCAGACAGTGAAGCCCCTTCCTCATTCCTGACCCAGAGGAGCTCTAAGAACATGGAGGGGTGTTGTCCTACGCCAATATGTTTTCTGGGAAATTTGTTAATTTGGATTATGTCTCTAATACAATGGCGTCCCAGTGGGCACAAGTGGTAAGGAAGCCGCCTGCCAATGCAGGAGACACAGGAGATGCAGGTTTCGATCACTGGGTTGGAAAGAACCCATGGAGGAGGACACTCCAGCATTCTTGCCTGGAAAATCCCATGAACAGCAAAGCCTCGTGGGCTACTGTCCATAGGGTGGCAAAGAGTCAGACATGACTGAGCAACTTAGCATGCATGCACGCAGGCATCTAATACAATAGGCCCTATGTGATATTATTTTTGCTTAATGGCTTAGATTCAGTATTATAATTATTTTGCATGCTAAGTCGCTTTAGTTCTGTGTAGTTCTTTGTGACTGCCTGTGGACTATATCTTGCCAAGCTTCTCTGTCCATGGGATTCTTCAGGCAAGAATAGTGGAGCGGGTTGTCAGAGATTTATATATTCAAAAATACAGCCATATTTTGAGTGGCAAAAATTTAAAGAGTTTTTAGTTTTCAAAAATGTTTTTATTCCTTATTAGAATTGCTACTTCGAGTAAAAGCCCCGAATTAGCATACACAGTAGAGCAGATACTTGGATTTACCCTGCTGTGTAAGGCATTGTGCCCCATTGTTGTATGTTAAAGAGAAAGAAATTTCACAATTAAGAAGATGCATGAGACAAGTGCCCAGGGCTGGTGCACTAGGATGACCCAGAAAGATGGGATGGGGAGGGAGGTGGGAGGGGGGTTCAGGATGGGGAACACATGTAAATCCATGGCTGATTCATGTCAATGTATGGCAAAAACCACTATAATATTGTCAAGTAATTAGCCTCCAACTAATATAAAAAATGAAATTAAAAAAAAGGTCAAGATATGAATGGAACATACAGGTACATCTCGGAGCAGGTGCCCAGCCATCTCTAGTACACGTTGCAACATTTCCATGGATCTCAGGAATAAAACCCTTTTTACACTCATAAGTGATTTTATCTTGACCTCTGTATTTGCTTAATTCAGGTCTGTACACACCGTTTGGAATACGAGGAGGATCACATATTATTTCTGAAAAGAAAAAAGGTATATTCACAATATAGAAATCATATCCCTTAAAATAATCAATGATATAAAAAAATAAAAGTGGATATTATTAATTTGTTCTTAGTACAGCACAAAAGTCAGTAAAATGAGCACAGCCTCACACCCCTCCTGCTGTATCACTTACATTTCCCTTCACTGTGTTTCTCATCTGATATATCTGTACCCTCGGTACTCTTGAACCCTCTTTCTCCACAGTCAATGCACACTTCATGATATTCCACATCTGGCAAAGAATTCATGATGTATCACTTCAGCTGTTCTTTCCACTTTCTGCAAGTTTCTCGGCTTCTGCATTTCTTACAAGTAGTGCTGGCAAATATTCTCCTCCCTCAGACACTTGTTGCAATAGCACACCCTGTCCTTTTGAAGTAGACTTAAATACAGGGATTGCATAGGGCAATGAAAAGAATGTGGAAGTAATGTTTTCCTTTAGGGAGGGAATTGGAAAAATTGAATTTTCATGTTCTCTTTCCCACAGCTGCAGTGATTAAAGAACATGGAAGGTAATATCTCCATTCCCTGATTCTTACAATTAAAAGAATGAGGAGGGTCCCTCCTGACCTATGTTTTCTGGCATATTTGTTAATTATGACTATATATCTAATACAATGGGCTTCCCAGTTGGCACAAGTGGTAAGGAGTCCGCCTGCCAATGCAGGAGACATAGGAGGTGCAGGTTCCAATGAAGGTTGGAAGTGAGCATGCATAGAAAATAAACTTTAGTTTTTTAAGCCACTAATATTTTGGAATACATTATTCTTATTGTAATAAAATAACCTAATCCAGGTTTCAAAACTCCTCTTTCATACAAAGACTCAGGTGAAAGGTATCTGTTGTAAATGCTGAACTCCACCATTGTAGGGCAGAAGTAGCCATAGACAACACTTATAAGAAATGGGCATGTTTCTGTTCCAGTAAGTCTTAGTTTACAAAAAAGGGACAGGCTGGATTTGACCTGGGACTATGGTGTGAACCAGACGTGGAACAACAAACTGGTTCAAATTTGAGAAAGGAGTATGTCAAGGCTGTATATTGTCACTGCGCTTATTTAACTTCTATGCAGAGTACATCATGTAAATTGCTGGACTGGATGAATCACAAGCTGGCATCAAGATTGCCAGGAGAAATATCAACAACCTCAGATATGCAGACGATAGCACCCTAATGGCAGAAAGTGAAGAGGAACTAAAGAGCCTCTTGAAGAAAGTGAAAGAGGAGAGGGAAAAAGCTGGCTTAAAATTCAACATTCAAAAACCTAAGATCATGGCAATTGGTCCTGTCATTTCATGGCAAATGAGGGGAAAAACTGGAATCAGTGGCAGATTTTATTTTCTTGGATTCCAAAATCACTGCAGATGGTGACTGCAGCCATGAAATTAAGAAATGCTTACTCCTTAAAAGAAAAGCTATGACCAACCTAGACATCACATTAAAAATCAGAGACATTACTTTGCCAACAGAGGCCTGTCTAGTCAAAGCTATGGTTTTTCCAGTAGTCATGTATGGATGAGAGTTGGACCATAAAGAAGGCTGAACACCAAAGAACTGATGCTTTCAAACTGTGGTGCTGGAGAAGACTCTTGAGAGTCTCTTGGGTAGCAAGGAGATCAAACCAGTCAATCCTAAAGGAAATCAACCCTCAATATTCATTGGAAGGACTGAAGCTGAAACTCCTATGCTTTGGCCATCTGATGCAAAGAGCTGACTCACTGGAAAAGACTCTGATGCTGGCAAAGATTAAAGGTGAGGGGAGAAGGGGACAACAAAGGACGAGATGGTTGAATGGCATCACTAACTCAATAGACATGAGTTGGAGCAAACTCTGGGAGATAGTGAAGGACAGGGAAACCTGGCATGCTGCCGTTTATGGGGTTGCAAAGAGTCAGACACAACTTCATGACTGAACAACAACAGTGTGCTACACAACAATAGTGTGCTACCCCTTGACATAGTCCTTTCTGATTTATAAAGTTCTACTCAGGCATTTATATCAACTTTGCTAGTACACAACAAGGATCAATTTGCAATAATCTTTTCTTTTTTTTTTTAAGTCATGCTTCCCAGGTGGCTCAGTGGTAAAGAATCCAGTGGAGGAGATGGAGGTTCAGTCCCTGGGTCAGGAAGATCCCCTGGAGAAGGGAGTGCCAACCCACACTAGTATTGTTGCCTGGGAAATCCCAAGGACAGAAGAGCCTGGTGGGCTACAGTCCATGGGATCTCAAAGGAGTCAGACATGACTTAGCAACTAACAACAACAAATAAATATCAATACTCCGTTGTCAGAAAAAATAAACTGCTTAATGGTAAGGAGGATAGGACTTAAAGCAACTGGTAAAATATACAGCAAAAGAGGTAGAAGAAATGTAACATTACCTTTACAAGCAGGAGCTGGAGTCCATCCAAATTTAGTGCATACTGTATCTCCTCTCTCACCATATTCAAAACCGGGTGCACATCTATATTGAACTCGTTCATTTGCCTTATAAGTTGCCTTTGGAAGTACAACTTGTCCATTTAAAATAACCGGTGGTTTGCAGGAAATTTCTAAACAAAAGGGATTAAATTCCAAAATGTCCATTATATGTCAAAGTACTGTGTCCCAGACATAGGCTGTATAAAGATACAACTTTTGTTTCCATTCCATTAAGTAAATTAGGTCACCAAACAAAGTCCTGTTTTGACTTGAATGTTTGATGAAGAATTTATCAGTTGTTCTTAACATTTATTTTGGAAGAAAGTTAAAATTCTGATTTAAATCTTGTTGCTGATTTATTTATATGGGGGAATAAATTAGTCCTCTTGAAAGAAATAATGGCCAGTAACTTCATCACCTATATTATATATATATATATATAACTGAATACCGAAGTAGTTTCATTGTGATTTCTGTAAAACAGCCTATTATTTACCCTGGTTTTCCATATATTTTGCTTTATTTTAGATTAATGTTATATAAAGAGGATACTTGTTGTAACTTAAGCATTTTATATATTATAGCATTTTGAATGAATCTGAACATCAATTTCTAGAGCTGTGGGAAATTACATCAAAAGGATGTTTACCCATTTGGTATTACTAAATATTTATGTTGCCTCCTGTCCTTCATTTGTAGAAAGCTAGAAAATATCATGCACTTAATGCCTTTCTCTTTTTTTTTTTTTTTTTTTTTTTTTTAAATTTATTTATTTATTTATTTTTAATCTTTTTTCAACTTTTTCTAGGCTTTTTCTTTTTTTATTTTTCCTAATTTTTATTGGCATTTATCTGCTTTACAATTCTGTGTTAGTTTCTACTGTACAGCACAGTTAATGAACTATATGTATATGTTTATACATATACATATGTATACATATACCCCTTCTTTTTGGATTTCCTTCCCACTTGTGTCTCCACAGAGCACTGAGTTCCCTGCGCTATACAGTAGGTTCTCATTAATTTTCTATTTTATACATAGTATCAATAATGTCTATATATATATGTCAATCCCAGTCTTACAATTCATCCCACTCCCCCCTTCCCACTTGCTATCCATATGTTTGTTCTCTACATCTGTGTCTCTATTTCAGCTCTGTAAATGAGATCACCTCTACCAATTTTTTCAGATTCTACATATATGTGTTAATACAAAATACTTGATTTTCTTTGTGACTTATTTCACTCCATATGACAGCACATAGGCCTCTTCCACATAAATCATTTTTTAAAAGCTTTTTATAAAAATTTTCAAGCATAAGCAAAAATAGAAAAAATATGTGAACTAAATTCCAAATCATTTAAACTTTCTTTTAAAAAAATAATAATTAGCAATACATAATGAACTTTTGTCGCATTCAATATTCTTGTACCACATAACGTTTCCAGTTGTACTGCTGAGGCACTTAATAAGTGTTCTAATACTTGCACATAAGTTTAATGGGAGAGTACAAATCTATATATTCAAGAAGAATATATGTGTTTTTTGAGGGAAAACATTCTCATGGAAAGAATTTATATAGAAGTAACTATGGAACTCTTTTTTCTAATATGAAGGAATTGTATCACAGATATTACATTCAATTTACATGAACTCATATAGTTCTGCAATGTAATTAACATAATTTTTTTTCAAAAAAATAGGTCAAATGTGATACATAAATTCAGCGAATGACCTGTAAAAATTATATATATTTTTTGTTATTGATAATAAAGTAATTATTAACAAAATACTTTATCAAATAAATTAATTTAACTTGTTGTATTATATCTGCGAAAAGCAACTGACCAGCTCTTGTGATTGGCATCCATTTAAGTTTCTGTCAAAAACAAACAAACAAACAAACAAAAGCTGGACATCATCTTTCACATTGTCCTCTATCAAACATTTTCCCTTGGGATTCCAGCAACGGTGACTAATTTCCCAGATTCTATTCTTCCTTCATCTCAATCTTTTCTTTCCTGTTTGAAACTTAATATATTTTTCCTGTCACTTCACAATTCCACTTGAAGTGCTGCATTGATTCCCAAATCAGTCCGCATAAAAGCCTAATCCTTCAGCATCGTGTGTGCCACCCCGCAGAACCTTGGACTGCCCATATTCACTCCATCACTGACTTCTTCTCTGCCTGCATCCTATGTTAAGGCCCCTGAGAACAATGGGAACAAGGGGCTTCATGCTCAAAGAGGCCTCAAGGCCACTGCCCCTTCCTCTCCATCTGACCGGCTTGATTTTCCCTGCCTCAATTCATCTAAAGATTCTCATTCTTCCTTTAAGACATGTTTTGCATCAGTCATTTCAGAAAGATGTCACTAACCACAGAAACTTAAGCAAAAAATAAACCCCACCCACGATCCTCTAGAGCTTCCCTCTTGGCTCACTTGGTAAAGAACCTGCCTGCAATGCAGGAGACCCAAGCTGGATCCCTGGGTCAGAAAGATTCCCTGGAGAAGAGAATGTCAACCCACTCCAGTATTCTTGCCTGTAAATCCCATGGACAGAGGAACCTAGGGGCTACAATCCATGGGGTTGCAAGAGTAAGACACAACTCACACCACATGATCTCTAGAGCATATGTAACTGCTACACTGCATATAAATATGTTCGTCTTTATTAACTTGAAATAGTTTTGTAAAAAGGACTTTCTAGGAAGAGGAACACTTCTCTTTGTGTCTCATTGTAGGACAGACTAGACTAAGAAAATGTAAATAATTTGGGGATATTAGATAATGTTAAAAAAAATAGTAGAAATTTCTCCCAAACAAGTATTGGTAAAACAAGGTATGGTGATTTTAAATAAATTGGACATAATACATTATGACAAAAGCCAAAATCATCATGAGGTTCTCAAGGGAACATTTCACACAAAGATAGGCACAATAAAGGAGAAAAACAGGAGGGACCTAACAAAAAGCAGAAGAGATTAAGAAGAGGTGGCAAGAATACACAGAAGAATTGTACAAAAAAGACCTCAATGACCCAGATAATCACAATTGTGTGGTCACTCACCTATAGCCAGACATCCCGGAGTATGAAGTCAAGTGGGCCATAGGAAGCCTTGTTATAAACAAAAGTAGTGGAGGTGATGGAATTCCAGCTGAGCTATTTCAAATCCTAAAAGATAATGCTGTTGAAGTGCTGCACACAATATGCCAGCAACCTTGGAAAACTCAGCAGTGGCACAGGACCGGAAAAGTTCAGCTTTCATTCTGATCCCAAAGAAGGGCAATGCCAAAGAATGTTCAAGCTACCACACTATTGCACTCATTCACATGCTAGCAAGGTAATACTCAAAATCCTTCAAGCTAAGTTTCAACAATATGTGAACCAAGAACTTCCAGATGTACAGTTGGATTTAGAAAAAGCAGAGAAACCAAACAACCAACATCTGTTGGATCATAAATAAAAAGAAAGGGGATTCCAGAAAAAAAAAATCTATTTCTACTTCATTGACTATGCTAAAGCCTTTGACTGTGTGGATCACAACAAACTGTGGAAATTCTCCAAGAGTTGGGAATGCCTGACCATCTTACCTGCCTCCTGGGAAACTAGTATGCAAGACAAGAAGCAACAGTTAGAACTGGACATGGAACAACTGACTGGCTCAAAATTGAGAAAGGAGTATGTCAAGGCTGTAAATGTCACCCTGCTAATTTAACTTACATGCAGAGTACATCATGCAAAATGCTGGGCTGGATGAAACACAAGCTGGAATCAAGATTGCTGGGAGAAATATCAACAACCTCAGATACACAGATGATATCATTATAATGGCAGAAAGAGGAACTAAAGAGCCTCTTGATGAAAATGAGAGAGGAGAGTGAAAAATTTGGCTTAAAACTCAGCATTCAAATAATGAAGATCATGGCATCCAGTCCCATCACTTCATGGCAAATAGATGGGAAAAATGTGAAAACTGTCAGATTTCATTTTCTTGGGCTTCAAAATCACTGCAGAGGGTGACTGCCACCATGATATTAAAAGACACTTGCTCCTTGGAAGAAAAGCTAAGACAAACCTAGTCAGTGTATTAAAAAGCAGAATCATCACTTTGCCAAAAAAGGTCTGTATAGCCAAAGTTATGATTTTTTCCACTAGTCATGTACGGATGTGAGAGTTACACCATAAAGAAGGCTGAGTGGCAAAGAACTGATGCTTTCAAACTGTGGTGCTAGAAGGCTCTTGAGAGTCCCTTGGAATGCAAGGAGATCAAACTGGTCAATCCTAAAGGAAATCAACCCTGAATATTCATTGGAAGGACTGATGCCAATGCTGAAGCTCCAATACTTTGGCCACCTGATGCAACGAGCCGACTCACTGGGAAAAACCTCTGATGCTGGGGGAAATTTAGAGCAGGAGGAAAAGGGGGCAACAGAGGATGAGATGGTTGGATGGGTTCACTGACTCAATGGACCTGTGTTTGAGCAAACTTTGGGAGATAGTGAAGGACAGGGAAGCCTGGTGCATTGCAATTCATGGGGTTGCAAAGAGTCAGACAGGACTGAGCAACTGAGCAACAACAAAATCATCATACTGGTCAGCAGTATTAAGAGTGAAGAAATGCTGGCTTACAGGTTACTATAGAACTTTCTTTTTAAGACAAAAATTTATTTAGTGGATTCAATTCAGATCAGCAATGTTTATACAAAACTTCCAGTGCAAGTATAAAACAGGGCCACTTTTAGAAGTGTTATTCAAAGACAGAATATCATGATACATCAGTAGAGATAAACATTGAATGTTCAGTTTTTCAAATATAAAATGACCTTTTGGTATATTAAAAGTTGTAGCAGAAATACTTAAGATTTTACTTTAGTCATGAGTCAATTACACTTTAATTATGGTTATGAGAATGGACTTTAGTGTCATATAACCTAGGTTTGAATCTTACCTCTACCATATACACCAAGATCATTTTAGACATGTAATTTTATTTCTTTGCACCATGATTTCCTTAATTGTGAAACAGAGGTGAACACAGTACATAAATCACATGGTCATTTGGAAGGTTAAATAGATGACACTTGTAAACAATTTACATCACCTACTGAAAAACAATTTAGATCACCTACTGTAAAATACTGTAAAAAAAAAAAAGTGCTGAATAAATGCTAGTGATTGCTAGTATTTTTCAAATCCTATAGGATGCACAGTGTTTTGAAAGGCATATTTTCATGAAAAAAACTAAATTCATGCAATTAATCAAACCAACAGTAAGTGAGTAAGTTTATCTTACCTACACATTTTGGTGTTTCTGCACTCCAAACACCACCTGCTGAGCAATGTATTTGTTTGGGTCCATCCAGCATGTAACCTGAATTACACTCAAACTGTACCACTTGTCCATAGGTATATTCTTGGTCTGGTTCCAGGGCACCACTGAAAATTTTCCCATTCTCTGGTTCTGTCACTGGTAAACACTTAACAACTGAAAAAATAAACAAAACTTCCTCTAATGAAATTGGAAAACTATAAAACTTTATCATGAAGAAATGAGTATATATAAATTTGACATATATATATATATATATATAAAACCAACAACAAGATTACTTTTTTAAATATGTGTTTATTTGATAAAACTGTTAGCCAGAAATAAATTCTACTAAGTAAAAACAAAGAAAAACAATAATAGTAGTAAGCTTATCTCTGATTCTTTTCTGTGAGAGTAAGCAAAAAACCTACTACCTTGAGTTTTGTAATGAAAGTGTATATATTTTCACTTTCATTTTTAATGAAACTATATATATACTCCATGAACAGTATGGAAAAGCAAAAACATAGGACACTGAAAGATGAACTCCCCAGGTCGGTAAAGGTGCTCAATAGGTTACCGGAGATCAGTGGAGAAAATAACTACAGAAAGAATGAAGGGATGGAGCCAAAGCAAAAACAACACCCAGCTGTGGATGTGACTGGTGATAAAAGCAAGGTTCAATGCTGTAAACAGCAATATTGCATGGGAACCTGGAATGTTAGGTCCATGAATCAAGGCAAATTGGAAGTGGTCAAACAGGAGATGTTAAGAGTGAACGTCAACATTCTAGGAATCAGCAAACTAAAATGGACTGGAATGGGTGAATTTAACTCAGAAGACTATTATATTTACTACTGTGGGCAGGAATTCCTTAGAAGAAATGGAGTAGCTATCATAGTCAACAAAAGAGCCAGAAATGCAGTAGTTGGATGCAATCTCAAAAACGACAGAATGATCTCTGATTGTTTCCAAGGCAAACCATTCAATATCACAGTAATCCAAGTCTATGCCCTGACCAGTAATGCTGAAGAAGCTGAAGTTGAAGGGTTCTATGAAGACGTACAAGACATTCTAGAACTAACACCCAAAAGAGATGACCTTTTCATGATAGGGGACTGGAATGCAAAAGCAGGAAGTAAAGAGACACCTGGAGTAACAGGCAAATTTGGCCTTGGAGTACAGAATGAAGCAGGGAAAAGGCTAATAGTGTTTTGCCAAGAGAACGCACTGGTCATAACAAACACCCTCTTCCAACAACACAAGAGAAGACTCTACACATAGACATCACCAGATGGCCAACACTGAAATCAGATTGATTATATTCTTTGCAGCCAAAGATGGAGAAGCTCTATACAGTCAGCAAAAACAAGACTGGGAGCTGACTATGGCTCAGATCATGAACACCTTATTGCCAAATTCAGACTTAAATTGAAGAAAGTAGGGAAAACCACTAGACCATTCAGGTATGACCTAAATCAAACCCCTTATGATTATACAGTGGAAGCGATAAATAGATTTAAGGAACTAGACCTGATAGACATAGTGCCTGATGAACTATGTACAGGGGTTTGGGACATTGTACAGGAGACAGGGATTAAGACCATCCCCAAGAAAAAGAAATGCCAAAAAGCAAAATGGCTGTCTGAAGAGGTCTTTCAAATAGCGTTGGAAAGAAGAGAAGCAAAAAGCAAAGGAGAAAAGGAATGATATACCCATTTGAATGCAGAGTTCCAAAGAATGCCAAGGAGAGATAAGAAAGCCTTCTTCAGTGAAAAGTGCAAAGAAATAGGGGAAAATAATAGAATTGGAAAGACTAGAGATCTCTTCAAGAAAGTTAGAGATACCAAGGGAATATTTCATGCAAAGATGGGCACAACAAAGGACAGAAATGGTATGGACCTAACAGAATCAGAACATATTAAGAAGAGTTAGCAAGAATACACAGAACTGTACAAAAAAGATCTTTACAACCCAGATAACCAGGATGGTGTGATCACTCACCTAGAGCCAGACATCCTGGAATGGGAAGTCAAGGGGGCCTTAGGAAGCATAACTACAAACAAAACTAGTTGAGGTGATGGAATTCCAGTTGAGCTATTTCAAATCCTAAAAGATGATGCGGTAAAAGTGCTGTGCTCAATATGTTAGCAAATTTTGAAAACACAGCAGTGGCCACAGGACTGGAAATGGTCAGTTTTCATTCCAATCCCAAAGAAAGGCAAGACCAAAGAATGCTCAAACTACCACATAATTGCACTTATCTCACACTGAAGCAAAGTAATCCTCAAAATTCTCCAAGCCAGATTTCAGCAATACATGAACCATGAACTTCCAGATGATCAAGCTGGTTTTAGAAAAGGCAGAGGAACCAGAGATCAAATTGCCAACATTCGTTCGATCATTGAAAAAGCAAGAGAGTTCCAGAAAAACATTTCTGCTTTATTGACTATGCCAAAGACTTTGACTGTGTGATTCACAACAAACTGTGGAAAATCCTGAAAGAGACGGGAATACCAGACCACCTGACCAGCCTCCTGAGAAATCTATATGCACACCAGGAAGCAAAAGTTAGAACTGGACATGGAACAACAGACTGGTTCCAAATAGGAAAAGGAGTATGTCAAGGCTGTATATTGTCACTCTGCTTATTTAACTTGTATGCAGAGTACATCATGAGAAACCCTGGGCTGGATGAAACACAAGCTGGAGGCAAGACTGCTGGGAGAAATATCAATAACCTCAGATATGCAGAGGACACCACCCTTATGGCAGATAGTGAAGAGAAACTAAAGAGCCTTTTGATGAAAGTGAAAGAGGAGAGTGTAAAAGTTGGCTTAAAGCTCAACATTCAGAAAACTAAGATCATGGCATCTGGCCCCATCACTTCATGGTAAATAGATGGAGAAATAGTGGAAACAGTGGCTGACTTTTTTTTGGGGGGCTCCAAAATCACTGCAGATGGTGACTGAAGCCATGAAATTAAAAGATGCTTACTCCTTTGAAGAGAAGTTATGATCAACCTAGACAGCATATTAAAATCAGACATTACTTTGCCAACAAAGGTCCATCTAGTCAAAGCTATGGTTTTTCCAGTAATCATGTATGGATGTGAGAGTTGGACTGTAAAGAAAGCTGAGCACTGAAAAATTGATGCTTTTGAACTGTGGTGTTGGAGAAAACTCTTGAGAGTCCCTTGGACTGCAAGGAGATCCAACCAGTCCATCCTTAAGGAGATCAGTCCTGGGTGTTCACTGGAAGGACTGATGCTGAAGTTGAAATTCCAATATTTTGGCCACCTGATGCAAAGAGCTGACTCATTTGAAAAGACCCTGATGCTGAGAAAGATTGAAGAGAAGGGGATGACAGAGGATGAGACAGTTGGATGCATCATCGACTCAATGGAGATGAGTTTGAGTAAACTGTGGGAGTTGGTGATGGACAGGGAGGCCTGGAGTGCTGCAGTCCATGGGGTCGCAAAGAGTCGGACTTGACTGAGCGATTGAACTGAACTGAACTGATATATTTTGTAGTAGCAAAATAAGTGTTTCTTACATAATTGAGAAATATAAAGTTGGGGATACTTGAATACAAATTTTCCATTTGTCTCACAACAATATAAAGCTGAATTCTTAAAAGGTGTAAAAGCAAACTTTCTGGTTATATGTCCTCAATAAATAAATAATCTTTAATTTTTCTTCTTCTATATCAAAATAATTAGAGCACATTTTTCATTTCCCTTATTATTTTCCAATATCCCTTAGTTTTAAGATAGTCAACCTTTATTTTACAATAGAAACTCCCAGGATGCTTGTTATATGGAAATTCTGTGGCTAGCTCTCTGTGCTATCACCCAAGGAACACTGATTCAGTCAATCTTTATGATCCAAAAATTTCAGTTTTTACAAGCATTCCAGATCATTCCAGTATGGATGTCCCCTACAACATTTATCCCCTTCCTTTCATTTCTGTAGATGAAAGACCTCCCAGTCTCTTTTTCAGAAAACAGGAGTTTTGAGTGATCACTTTTCTTCTTACCGTCTTCCTCTGCCTCTGCTGTCTTTTTCTCTCTCTTTCCTCCCTCTCTCTGTCTTTGCCTTGCATTTCTCTCTCCTTTTCCCTCTTCTTTTCCCTCTCCTTTTCCCTCTCTACTTAATCATCACCGTTCAACTAGGAAAATTTATTTTCATGATAACTACAGGTTATTCTTTTTATTTTATATTGGAGTATAGTCAATTAACAATGTTGTGATAGTTGCAGGTGGACAGCAAAGGGACTGTTATTTTCATGATGACTACAGATTGGAAGTACTGGTATAAAAGTTGGAAATAGGATGTGCAATTTTTTCATTCTTTCTGTTTGCTTTATGGATCAGTAAGAAACGGCAGAGCTCTTCCTTAGTTTCTGGCTCTTTTCAGTAAACTAAAACCATAGGAAAACTCCCCTTGTCAGGCAGGAGGAAGGAGATGTCTAAACCATATTCTCCAGTTAAGCTATTATCAGAGATCCTTGCATTGGGGTGGCTATTTGACTGAGTGCTCCTTCATTAATAAAGCTGAAACTCTCATCTTCATTTTAATGTGATATGTGTGTTATTACCAGTGGTTAGAATCCAAAAAGAAAAACAAAACTTAGATTTTTTTTTCTAGTCTTAATACTTGGACTATTAGATTAGATGAACCTATATTTACACTTAGTTATTGAAACACTTAACAACATAGCAATAAAAGATTAGATCCAACTCTGCACTAAAGTAGAATCCACAAAAATAATGTGAGTAAGAAATATTTAATTATAAACTTTAAGAATATTTAATGCAAGACATTTCCAAAAAATCATATTTTAAATAATATGCTTTAATATACTTGTAAATCAGTTTTATATCTACCTTCACATATGGGAATATCATTGGTCCATCCATTTGTGTCACATTCACGGAAATTCATCTCACCCAGCATCTGATACCTGAAAATAAAAAATAACAGAATTGTAAGCTGATGTGTGTTTATGTGAAGTTTTGAGTTTGATACCATTTCAAATATCCAGAAACTCTATTTTGAGGAAAACTATTAATACGAGCACACGCTTCCCTCCCTCCTCAGGAAAGGCCCTTAAGCCCTCAGGTGCATGGACTTGAATGATCAAAATCCTTGGTTCGTGATGCAAACTCCTTATTGTTTCATGCACTTTTATTTTTCTGACTCAGTTAATGAGGTACACTTAACAATGTAATAAGCTCCACGAACTATCACCAAAACCAAAGATAGAAACATAAGATCATGATAAAAGCAGTAAACAACAGTTCACTGTATATTACCCAGTCCACTCTTTTTCCATATTTCTATCCATAGCCCTACCCTCCACGATTGTGATATTTTCTGCACACTTTGGGCTTTTTTTTTTAACATGATCAAGGACAGTGCTAGCAAGAATGTTTCAATGTGGTTTATTGTCAGCACTTATCTACATCTCGCAGCTCCATCCTGGCCCACGCTTCCAAGAGTGTGGTCACCAAGTCAAGCCTGCTTACAGAAGTCATTCAGTGACAAACTATACTAACTCATCAAGCCTGAGTTTCAAAACAAAGATGCTGTACTTGCAAAGGGAACTATGCTCAGTGTCATGTGGCAGCCTGAATGGGAGGGGAGTCTGGGGAGAATGGATACATGTATGTGCATGGCTGAGTTCCTTTGCTGTGCACTTGAAACTATCACAACATTGTTAATGGCTATATTCCAATACAAAATACTGCTGCTGCTGCTAAGTCACATCAGTCGTGTCTAAATCTGTGTGACCCCATAGACAGCAGCCCACCAGGCTCCTCTGTCCCTGGGATTCTCCAGGCAAGAATACTGGAGTGGCTTGCCATTTCCTTCTCCAATGTATGCATGCATGCATGCATGGTAAGTCGCTTCAGTCATGTCCGACTGTTTGCAACCCCATGGATGGCAGCCCACCAGGCTGCCCTGTCCACGGGATTTTCCAGGCAAGAATACTGTAGTAGGTTGCCATTTCCTTCTCCATACAAAAGACTAAGCTTAAAAAAAAAAAAAAAAGCATCCTTCTCAAATTTATTACATTTGACAACTGGAAGCAAAAAAAATTTTTTTACTCAAAAAAATAAATAAGGAAAGGCATTTTTATAACCACAAGTGAGAGAATTTTGGAGCGGTGGGGGGGGGGGGGGGGAAGGCCTCTTATAAACGTTTAAAGAATTGTACCTGGACAAACTTTTCCTTTGACCCTGAATGAAAGCAGTCCTGCTAGTTATACAAGTAAAAGAAACTCTGTCCTTCAAAAAACACTTTGCCTTCTTGGATTGGGGTTGATTTGTCCCTAATTCTCTAAGGGAAGAAATCGTTTCAGTAGAGTAAATAGGACTCGAACTTTTACTCTGTGCCCCTTCACACAAAGGAACAAGATGACTGGTTGTCAAAGGTTCTGCTCTGGCTCCTTTATTGGCTCCGCCTTATAACAGAGGAACATTCCCTGCTGACTACTTTCCACCAGGGACCCAGTCATTTGCCTAAATCTCTTCGGATTTCTGCGAAATTCTACACAAATCCTCCTAGTGCTACCAGCTAGGAATAAAAATAGAACCTGGGGGATAAATCTAACCTTATTTCCCCCTCCGCGCTGAGTTTCCTTTAGCAGGCTCACAGGGTCCCGCATACCGAAGCCTCAGAGCCAGCCCTTCAGACAGGCGTTCCCAGTTCAAAATGGCCGGCCGGGCGCCTCAGCTTGGGGCCCTGTGCTGTCGCCGCACGGCCCCGCGCGCTCTGGAGCCTGAGGCCCGCGCTGCCCCGCCCGCGGGAACGCCGCCCTGTTCCCAGCTGAGGAGAGACTGAAAAGCAGCCCTGCTCGCTTACAGTCTGCCGCACTTATTTCTCCCACCAAGCCCGTGGTGCGCTTGATATGTTTCTGCTTTTATAAGTGAGAAAATTGCAGTAAAGAGCTATTTTTTAAAAAATACATATAGTAATTAGGTGGTAGAGTTTTGGAATGCGAGCTTACTTCAAAGCCTAAGCTCTAAAATATTCTGTTGCCTCAAATCAAGAAATAAATGGGGAGTGAATAATGATTCCACGTGTAATTTCTTCACCCTATGTATATTTATGTAGTATAAAAGTACAATGATCAGTTTTTCTATCTATAAAACTTTCTTCAAAACAAGGTGCCGGGAGTCACAAGAAAGAAAGAACACTGAGGAGGTAACAACACAGGGTTAAGACCAGCTGAGCTGTGGGAACCCAGCAGGTGCTTAGAAGGAGCAAAGTCACCTCTTCTGAGCATAGGAGCATTTTTGGTCTGCGTGATAAGCGTAATTTACGGATTGTGGAAACTTAATGATAGTTATTATTTCAGTGTTCAGTTAGTCTGATTTCTCGTAAATTGTATAAAATTTTATCAAAGTAGATCCACGTTCTCTAATTTTGTTACCATTCCCACTGCCCCTGAGAATTCTTACTCTGCACATAATAGGATGCGGTGAGGACTCATTGCGGAGAATTTTTATTTAAATGTGTACAATTTTCCCACTCTCCTGTAACTATACTCTACCAGAGTAATTATAATTCACTTTAATTCTTCAATGTTGAGGAGATAATCATATTATCCAAAAATAGTCATTTTCATTATAGTTTACATTTTCAGATTACTTGTATGTTACTTATAAAAATGTTCATAGAAAAATATAATAACCTTAAACACATAAATAAGATCAGTTTCTATTTACTCTTTCCAGTATGAAAAATCTGAATTATAAACTGCTCTTTCTGTTGATGACATACCCCTCATCACATGTATAAACAACTTTTGCTCCATATTCAAACTGAGTGCCTTCTGCAAGATGGAAAGAACCAAATGGAGTGTCTCCAGGGTGTGCACACGGCTTTTCTAAAATGAAAAAGAATATGATGTTAGCATGTAGCATGGAGCACAGGAGCATAGGAGTTCAAGAACAGGGATATTTGATATTGTTTTAGAGGACAGAATTGAAAAATATAGAAAAGTGAAAAATGCCAAAGTTATCTGTACGCTTTTTTTTTTAAATTTTGGAAGATGACAATCCCTTTTTAAGAATGATGAGGCTATATCGCTTAGTATTTAAATGACACTAGCGATAGAATTCAGCCAGTATTGCCACAATAGCATTCGTTGTTTTCACAACTTTTCACAGGTTTCACAAAAGTAGGAATTACTTACTCCGACATATCCTTGATGGATGAAGAGACACCCATTTTCCACCCCTGCACACCATTACGATACTCCCCAGAGTTCTGTATCCAGGGCGGCATTTATATGTAGCCTGAGTGCCCTCTTGATATGTTTGTTCATTCCAAGAACCTGACAGGATTTCTGTTTCTTTTCTGGGAGGGGGTTCTCTACAGTCTACAAAAAAAAAAAAAAAAGTGTCTAAATACAATGAAAAATGCAGTATTTTTAGGTTAATTTTGCTTTAAAAAAAAAAAACTTATACAGGTCCATCCAATGTAACTCAATATATATTTTTACCTTACAAAAATTAAATCTACATAGATTTGTAAGAATAACTTTCAAGATTCTATAATTCTGCTGTTTTCTAAGGGCTTCCCAGGTAACTTAGCTGGTAAAGAATCCACCTGCAATTCAGGAGAACCTGGTTCGATTCCTGGGTTGGGAAGATCCCCTTGGAGAAAGAATAGGCTACCCACTCCAGTATTCTTGGGCTTCGCTGGTGACTCAGATGGTAAAGAATTTGCTGCAATGTGGGAGACCTGGGTTCAGTTCCTGGGTTGGGAAGATCCCCTGGAGGTGGGCATGGCAACCCATCCCATATTCTTACCTGGAGAGTCACCATGGACAAAGGAGCCTGATGGGCTACAGTCCATGGGGTCACAAAGTCGGACACAATTGAGCGATTAAGCACAGCACAGCACATTCTTTCTTAAATTCAGGAAACATTAAGCACTATTTTAAGGTTTGAAGAAACAACAGTGGGTATGGAGACAAAGTGCTCGCAAAATGTTGTCACTCTAGTAAGGAAGTTATTGAATATGTATTCAAAGATATGACGTATCCAGGTGTCTGAAATCTTCATCAAGCCCTTGTACAGTCTGCTCTACCACCTATTCTATACAATCTCTTGAACCTCAGTAACTTTGGGGCTGGAGTGGTCAAGCGTATGTGTAAATGTGATTGACAATCTCAAATTGAAACCCACTCTGGCACCCTAGCAATTAGAAGCCATTGAAGATAAAAATGAATAAAATCAAATCCATACTTTTCTCAGAAAACTGTCATTAGGAAACTCATGAATTCAAGGAATAAAGTGAATTGTAAAAAGTATACACATATTAGAAAGTTTTTAATTAAAATTCTATTTATGAAGATTTAATCTATACAAAATTCAAAGGAAAATTATCTGCAAAATTATTTTCCACACAAAAGCACTTCTTGCAATAACAAAAGCACTAACACAACCAAAGGAAAAATACAGTAGGATGATAAAACATTTTCTTAAGAATGGCTGATAACATAAGCATTACTAAAATCAAAGACATGACAATTAAGTGTAAGTGATGTTTTTGGACAAATTTCAATGGCAAAAATGTAAAGGGAATGACACTTGATTTTGTAGAAAAAGAAATGTTATAAATATTATCTTAAATAAAATTAGAGGTATAAATGACTACAGTGATTTGATGACACTTATAAAGAATCTTAAAAATGCTAATGTAAATTAAAGAATTTCAAACTGAAAAAAGATCCTAAAGCAATAAAGTTTTTCTAAGATTCTTATGTATAAGATGTTTATTCCAACATTTTTATAGTGTAAAAAATAAGATATGTTAATGTGAATATTGTCAGATTGTGGTACATTCACCTGAGGAAATATTTTATGGCTTTTGAAAATTGTGTTTTGGGGAATATTTAATCATATGGGTAAATGTTAGCATAAGAGTAAGGGAGAAGGTATTATAGACTTTTTGTTTCTAATATATACTATAGTGATCAAGGATCAGAATGGTCAGTACTTAAAGCTGACTTTTCAGCAGCAGTAATGGAAACCAGAAGATGTTAACTTATCACTTCTATCTGCATAAAGCAATAATTGTCTACTTAGAATTCTACATAAAGGAACAATTTTTTTAAGGTTCAAGATTTCAATTAATAGAATGTGAGAGAATTTGTTTTATAGATTCACATTAAAGGAAAATAAAACATGTACTTTAGAAAAAGGAAAATTATCTCAGATATAAGGTTTGTAATGAAAGAAAAACAATAACAGTACCTAAACAAATAAGTCTAAGAGAACACCAACTGTGAAACAATAAAACTGTAGTCTTATGTAATTTAAAATACATATATACTCATACACATATGCATATACATAAAATACAGGACAGCCATGCGTTAATTGAGAGAAGAAAACAGAAAATGAAGGATATAACTTGAAGGATAACAATGTCCAGAGGAATGAAGAGATATGAATCAGCTGTTATAGCTTTGATGAGGCGTCAGCCTGACTGGGCATCCATCCTCAGTTATTTAAACCAACACTAATCTAAGCACTGCTGAGAAGCTACATGACAAGATATAATCCTAAACACTTAATTTTAAACAAGCTGATTATCCTGGATAACTGGTGTAGGCCCGATTAAATCACTTGAAAGGCTTTTAAAGCAGGGTTAAACCTGATCCAAAAGAGAGAAGAAACTGTACTGTGGACTCAGCTTCCTTACCTGCGCTCCGCCCTTTCTGACAGTCAGCCCTATGAAGTTTAGACCTGCTTACCCATAGTGCAGGCTTCCCTGGTGATTCTGCCTGCTAATGCAGGAAATGTGGGTTTGATCCCTGATCTGGAAAGATCCCATAGAGAAGGAAATAGCAGTTCTATGAAGACCTACAAGACCTTCTAGAACTAACACCCAAATAAGATGGCCTTTTCATTACAGGGGACTGGAATGCAAAAGTAGGAAGTAAAGAAACACCTGGAGTAACAGGCAAATTTGGCCTTGGAGTACAGAATGAAGCAGGGAAAAGGCTCATAGAGTTTTGCAAGAGAATGCACTGGTCATAGCAAACACCCTCTTGCAACAACACAAGAGAAGACTCTACATAGGGACATCACCAGATGGTCAATATTGAAATCAAATTGATTATATTCTTTGCAGCCAAAGATGGAGAAGCTCTATACAGTCAGCAAAAACAAGACTGGGAGCTGACTGTGGCTCAGATCATGAACTCCTTATTGCCAAATTCAGATTTAAATTGAAGAAGTTGGGAAAACCATGAGACTATTCAGGTATACCTAAATCAAATCCCTTATGATTATACAGTGGAAGTGAGAAATAGATTTAAGGGATTAGATCTGATAGACAGAGTGCCTGAAGAACTATGGACAGAGGTTCATGACTTTGTACAGGAGGCAGGGATCAAGATCACCCCCAAGAAAAAGAAATGCAAAAAAAGCATAATGACTGTCTGAGGAGGCCTAACAAATAGCTTTGAAAAGAAGAGACGTGAAAAGTAATGGCGAAAAAGAGAGATATATCCATTTGAATGCAGAGTTCTAAAGAATAGCAAGGAGAGAAAAGAAAGCCTTCCTCAGCAATCAACGCAAAGAAATAGAGGAAAATAATAGAATGGAAAAGACTAGAGCTCTCTTCAAGAAAATCAGAGACACCAAGGGAACATTTCGTGCAAAGATGGGCACAGTAAAGGACAGAAATGGTATGGACCTAACAGAATCAAACATATTAAGAAGAAGTGGCAAGAATACACAGAAGAACTATGCAAAAAAAGATCTTCACAACCCAGATAACCACAATGGTGTGATCACTCACCTAGATCCAAACATCTTGCAATGTGAAGTCAAGTGGGCCTTAGGAAGTATCACTATGAAGAAAGCTAGGGGAGCTGACGGAATTCCAGTTGAGCTATTTCAAATCCTAAAAGATGATGCTGTGAAAGTGCTGCACTCAATATGCCAGCAAATTTCGAAAACTCAGCAGTGGCCACAGAACCAGAAAAGTTCAGTTTTCATCCCAATCCCAAAGAAAGGCAATGCCAAAGAGTGTTCAAACTACTGCACAACTGCACTCATCTCACATGTAGTAGAGTAATGCTCAAAATTCACCAAGCTAGGATTCAACAGTATGTGAACCGTGAACTTCCAGATGTTCAAGCTGGATTTAGAAAAGGCAGGGGGACCAGAGATCAAATTGCCAACATCTGCTGGATCATTGAAAAAGCAAGAGAGTTCCAGAAAAACATCTATTTCTGCTTGATTGACTATGCCAAAGCCTTTCATTGTGTGGATCACAACAAACTGGAAAATGCTGAAAGAGATGGGAATACCAGACCACTTGACCTGCCTCTTGAGAAATCTGTATGCACATCAGGAAACAACAGTTAGAACTGGACATGGAACAATAGACTGGTTCCAAATAGGAAAAGGAGTACGTCAAGGCTGTATATTGTCACCCTGCTTATTTAACTTGTATGCAGAGTATATCATGAGAAATGCTGGGCTGGATGAAACACAAGCTGGAGGCAAGATTGCTGGGAGAAATATCAATAACCTCAGATATGCAGATGACACCACCCTTCTGGCAGAAAGTGAAGAAGAACTAAAGAGCCTCTTGATGAAAATGAAAGAAGAGAGTGTAAAAGTTGGCTTGAAGCTCAACATTTAGAAAACAAAGATCATGGCATCTGGCCCCATCACTTCATGGCAATTAGATGATGGGGAAACAGTGGAAACAGTGGCAGGCTTTTATTTGGGGGGCCTCCAAAATCACTGCAGATGGTGACTGCAGCCATGAAATTAAAAGACACTTACTCCTTGGAAGAAAAGTTATGACCAACCTAGATAGCATATTAAAAAGCAGAGACATTACTTTGCCAACAAAGGTCTTTCTAGTAAAAACTATATTTTTTTCAATAGTCATGTATGGATGTAAGAGTTGGACTATAAAGAAAGCTGAAAGCTGAGCACTGAAGAATTGATGCTTTTGAACTGTAGTGTTGGAGAAGAGTCTTGAGAGTCCCTTGGACTGTAAGGAGATCCAATCAGTCTATCCTAAAGAAAATCAGTCCTGAATATCCATTGGAAGGACTGATGATGAAGCTGAAACTCCAATAGTTTGGCTACCTGATGTGAAGAGCTGACTCATTTGAAAAGACCCTGATGCTGGGAAAGATTGAGGGCAGGAGGAGAAGGGGACAACAGAGGATGAGATAGTTGGATGGTATCACTAACTCAATAGTGTTTGAGTTTGAGTTAGAGTTTGAGTCATCTTCGGGAGTTGGGGATGGACAGGGAAGCCAGGTGTGCTTCAGTTCATGGGGTGCAAAGAGTTGGACACAACTGAGCGACTGAACAGAATTGAACTGAACCAGTATTC